CCAACAACGAGGCCGAGGTCCAACAACGAGGCCGAGGTCCAACAACGAGGCCGAGGTCCAACAACGAGGCCGAGGTCCAACAACGAGGCCGAGGTCCAACAACGAGGCCGAGGTCCAACAACGAGGCCGAGGTCCAACAACGAGGCCGAGGTCCAACAACGAGGCCGAGGCCCAACAACGAGGCCGAGGTCTAACAACGAGGCCGAGGTCTAACAACGAGGCCGAGGTCTAACAACGAGGCCGAGGTCTAACAACGAGGCCGAGGTCTAACAACGAGGCCGAGGTCTAACAACGAGGCCGAGGTCTAACAACGAGGCCGAGGTCTAACAACGAGGCCGAGGTCTAACAACGAGGCCGAGGTCTAACAACGAGGCCGAGGTCTAACAACGAGGCCGAGGTCTAACAACGAGGCCGAGGTCTAACAACGAGGCCGAGGTCTAACAACGAGGCCGAGGTCTAACAACGAGGCCGAGGTCTAACAACGAGGCCGAGGTCTAACAACGAGGCCGAGGTCTAACAACGAGGCCGAGGTCTAACAACGAGGCCGAGGTCTAACAACGAGGCCGAGGTCTAACAACGAGGCCGAGGTCTAACAACGAGGCCGAGGTCTAACAACGAGGCCGAGGTCTAACAACGAGGCCGAGGTCTAACAACGAGGCCGAGGTCTAACACCGAGGCCGAGCTCTAAAACCGAGGCCGAGCTCTAAAACCGAGGCCGAGCTCTAAAACCGAGGCCGAGCTCTAAAACCGAGGCCGAGCTCTAAAAACCGAGGCCAAGCTCTAAAACCGAGGCCAAGCTCTAAAACCGAGGCCAAGCTCTAAAACCGAGGCCAAGCTCTAAAACCGAGGCCAAGCTCTAAAACCGAGGCCAAGCTCTAAAACCGAGGCCAAGCTCTAAAACCGAGGCCAAGCTCTAAAACCGAGGCCAAGCTCTAAAACCGAGGCCAAGCTCTAAAACCGAGGCCAAGCTCTAAAACCGAGGCCAAGCTGGTCAGGTCGAACGTTTCTACTCACCTGGATGGTTTGAAGGTTGGTAAGCAGCAAGTTTTGGCCCCTTTGCTCAGCCAGTAAGGACTCTCTTTCTTGACTAAGACGAGTTTCAGTCATTTTCAAAAGCTCCTTTTCACGCTTCAGATTTTCTGCCTTAACCTTGTGATTAAAAAAAATAAATAAATCATTTTGTAGTATAAAATAAAACAATGAAGACGTCTGCCTCAGTCAATGTGAGATGATGAGTTCGGCGCTCCCACAAGTGTTGGGATTCCCTACAGACGTCAATAAAACATATCCAAGGATTGGAGCGCCATTTCCCAGAGCCGGCCGCAAAAAAGGTGAACATTTACAGGTATGTCTTTAACCGCTTCCCAACCGACCAAAAGGAGAACTACTGCCACAGGGCGGCACGGGAGCACAAAATCATGTATATATACACGTGGTTTCACATTTCCGAGTAGAGGGCGCGCGCCCTACCTGCGCCGCTGGGTCCCAGATGGCGATTCCCCACCGCCACCCAGCAATAGCTGAGGAACAGACAGGGAAGAGACCTGTATGTATATACAGAACTCTCTCGTCAGCTTCAGCACGCTGCCTTGGGTATCTCTGCACAGCATGTCTACCTAGTAACACAGCACACAGTTAACCCTTTGATCGCCCCAGATGTTAACCCCTTCCTGCCCAGTGCCATTAGTACAGTGTCAGTGCTTTTTATTAGCACTGATCACTGTGTTGGTGTCACTGGGGATGTCAGTGACACCAAGTCAGTTTCCCCCCAGTGTCAGAATGTCAGTCCCGCTACAAGTCACTGATCGCCACCATTACTAGTAAAAAAAATGTTTTTTAAAAATCCCCTTATCTATCCCGCCATTTGTAAACGCGATAACTTTCACTTAAACCAATTAATTTACACGTATCGGGATTTTTTTCTTTTCAGCACAGACGTGTCCCAGAATACATTTTGGCCGAAATTTATGATGAAATTAGATTTTTTTAAATTTTTTTACTGTACAAGTTTAATAACAAAAGGTCAAAAATATTGTTGTTTTCTCAAAATTGTTGGACTTGAAAACACCAAAAGAAAGCTCTATTCATGGGAAAAAAAAAGGACGTAAATTTTATTTGGGTGCGGCGTTGCATAACTGCACAATTGTCAGTTACAGTAACGCAGCAACATAACGCATTCACCATATCCGCTCTCCCCGGACCCCGCGTTCACCATATCCGCTCTCCCCGGACCCCGCGTTCACCATATCCGCTCTCCCCGGACCCCGCGTTCACCATATCCGCTCTCCCCGGACCCCGCGTTCACTACATCCGCTCTCCCCGGACCCCGCATTCACTACATCCGCTCTCCCCGGACCCCGCGTTCACTATATCCGCTCTCCCCGGACCCCGCATTCACTATATCCGCTCTCCCCGGACCGCGCATTCACTATATCCGCTCTCCCCGGACCGCGCATTCACTATATCCGCTCTCCCCGGACCCCGCATTCACTACATCCCCTCTCTCCCCGGACCCCGCATTCACTACATCCCCCCTCTCTCCCCGGACCCCGCATTCACTACATCCCCGCTCTCCCCGGACCCCGCATTTCACTACATCCGCTCTCCCCGGACCCCGCATTCACTACATCCGCTCTCCCCGGACCCCGCATTCACTACATCCGCTCTCCCCGGACCCCGCATTCACTATATCCGCTCTCCCCGGACCCCGCATTCACTATATCCGCTCTCCCCGGACCCCGCATTCACTATATCCGCTCTCCCCGGACCCCGCATTCACTATATCCGCTCTCCCCGGACCCCGCATTCACTACATCCCCTCTCTCCCCGGACCCCGCATTCACTACATCCCCTCTCTCCCCGGACCCCGCATTCACTACATCCCCTCTCTCCCCGGACCCCGCATTCACTACATCTGCTCTCCCCGGACCCCGCATTCACTACATCCGCTCTCCCCGGACCCCGCATTCACTACATCCGCTCTCCCCGGACCCCGCATTCACTATATCCGCTCTCCCCGGACCCCGCGTTCACCATATCCGCTCTCCCCGGACCCCGCATTCACTACATCCGCTCTCCCCGGACCCCGCATTCACTATATCCGCTCTCCCCGGACCCCGCATTCACTATATCCGCTCTCCCCGGACCCCGCATTCACTATATCCGCTCTCCCCGGACCCCGCATTCACTATATCCGCTCTCCCCGGACCCCGCATTCACTATATCCGCTCTCCCCGGACCCCGCATTCACTATATCCGCTCTCCCCGGACCCCGCATTCACTATATCCGCTCTCCCCGAACCCCGCATTCACTATATCCGCTCTCCCCGGACCCCGCATTCACTATATCCGCTCTCTCCCACGTTTGTAGGCGTTTTCTCTAGAAGATGTAGAACCCCTAACCTCTATCTGGACAGTGCTGATCACATGCTGCATTTTGTCACAGAACCGTACCGGAACACAGCAAACGGCATCAGAAACGCACCGGAACGGGAGTGTGGTGGGAACGGTCAGCAAAAACGTATCCAGAGTACATAGTGTGAAGCGGCCCCCTTAGGGAACAAGGACTCTGCAGAGCCAATCCAAAGCCATGTTCTATGGAACACCTACTTCAGTGAGTGCTAGCTTCTCATTGGCTGCCCTCAGATCCTGTGTCATGGTATGAATGATCTGCTCCTGCTTTTGTGTGGTCGATGACAATTTCTGGGATTTCTCTTGTAAAGATGCGATTTCCCGGCGGTAGCTTTCCACATTGTCCTGCAACATTTCATACCTATCCGGAGGAAAGACGTAAAATGAGAAGATTTCCTAAAAAAACAGGTTATGAAATATAAAAATTGTACATGAAACCCCCAAAGCTCAATACACAGAGGAGAGACACTTGGCACCTGCGCAGCGCTGGGGTCATCGGCTTGAATCCCAACCCCGGCACAACCTGCTTGGAGTTTGCATGTTCTCCCTGTGTGGGTTTCCTCCGGGTACTCCGGTTTCATCCCACACACCAAAGACATGCTGGGAGGTTAATTGGTTCCTGTCTAAATTGGCCCTAGTATGTGAGTTAGGGACTTTGGATTGTACGCTCCTCAGGGGCGGGGACTGATGGAAATGTACAATATATATGTAAAGCGCTGTGTAAATTGTCAGCTCTATAGAGGTACCTGAAATAAATAATAAATACAAGGGAGGAGTTTACTGGCCAGGCATTGAGCCCGGGATCACACGGACGCAGTCCTGGAATTCGCAGATTTTTGTGTGCGAATTCCGCACCGCATCAGAAATCGCACACCTTTCATGCGAACCGCTGTGGGTGTGTATGTTAACCCCTCACCTACAGGGCGCTTCTACCCCCTCCCTGCCCGCCGGGCGCTTCCACCCCCTCCCTGCCCGCCGGGCGCTTCCACCCCCTCCCTGCCCGCCGGGCACTTCCACCCCCTCCCTGCCCGCCGGGCACTTCCACCCCCTCCCTGCCTGCCCGGCACTTCCACCCCCTCCCTGCCTACCCGGCACTTCCACCCCCTCCCTGCCTACCCGGCACTTCCACCCCCTCCCTGCCTACCCGGCACTTCCACCCCCTCCCTGCCTACCCGGCACTTCCACCCCCTCCCTGCCTACCCGGCACTTCCACCCCCTCCCTGCCTACCCGGCACTTCCACCCCCTCCCTGCCTACCCGGCACTTCCACCCCCTCCCTGCCTACCCGGCACTTCTACCCCCTTCCTGCCTACCCGGCACTTCTACCCCCTTCCTGCCTACCCGGCACTTCTACCCCCTTCCTGCCTACCCGGCACTTCTACCCCCTTCCTGCCCCCCCGGGGCACTTCTACCCCCTTCCTGCCCCCCCCGGGCACTTCTACCCCCTTCCTGCCCCCCGGGCACTTCTACCCCCTTCCTGCCTACCGGGCACTTCTACCCCCTTCCTGCCCCCCGGGCACTTCTACCCCCTTCCTGCCTACCGGGCACTTCTACCCCCTTCCTGCCCAGGCCAATTTCCAGCTTTCAGCGCTATCACACTTTGAATGACAATTGCGCGGTCATGCAACACTGTACCCATATTAAATTTTTATCATTTTTTTGAGATAGAGCTTTCTTTTGGTGGTATTTAATCACTTTGGGGATTTTCATTTTTTGCTAAACAAACCAAAAACTGAAAATTTTGAAAAAAAAAAATTTCTTAGTTTTGGTTATAAAATTTTGTAAATAAGTGATTTTTCTCCTTCACTGATGTGCGCTAATGAGGCTGCAGTGATGGGCACTGATAGGTGGCACTGACAGGCAGCACTGACCGGCACGAGAGGTGGCACTGATGCTTACTGATAGTCGCCACTGACTGGCAGCACTGATAGGTGACACTGAAAGGCAGCTCAGATGGACACTGACAGGTGGCACTTCTGGGGCCACACTGATCATCAGTGCCCTGATGATCAGTGTAGATGTCCCCTCCGTGGAAAGCCGATTACCGGCTCTCCTCTCCTCTGTCAGTGTGACAGCTCGTGAGGAGAGGAATGCCGATAACCAGCATTTCCCTATTTACATGTGATCAGCTGTGATTGGACACAGCTGATCACATGACCGAGCTGAAATCTTCAGCTCTTCCGTTGATCGGTGATCCGCTGCGTCCGAGGGACACAGCGCACCGCCGATCGCCATGCGCTCCCAGAGCCGCATATGCGTGATAAGAATGGGACGACGTCATATGACTCCTCCCAGAACGAGAGAACTGCCTTGCACCCGTCATTACCTTATATGGCGGGCAGGAGACTATTAACACCCAGAAAGCGGTCCGCAAAACGCGGTGCGATATGCAGAATTGGATAGCATAGGTGTGAATACGTGTGCGATCCGATTCTAGTGCAGGCCAAAAAAATGGTGCTGCACCTTTTTAGTGCGGGTGCGGTGTGATTAGAGTCATACATAATGTACAGCTCCGATCGCACCGCACACAAACCGCATGTGATTTGCAGAGAATGCGGTGCGGTTCCTGCGTGAATCACATGCGATATACCGCACCGCATGTATGTGAACCCGGGCTACCATCTCTGTCCATCCAGTCCTGAGGATTACACAGCACAACCCTCTTTGGCAGGGAAGGAAGACCCGACTTTCCCCGTGCTGCTGAAATACTTACAGGTCTTCTCCTTTCTCTGTCCAATCACAGAGTGGGAAAAGGACAAGCAGCAAACTGATAGGAGAGAACAGAGAGAGGGGCCTATCCGCATGTTACTTGTTAGTAGGTGAGCATTGCAGTGCACTTGATGCTGTACAGAAACGGCCGAACTGAACCGAATTCAGACACTTACATTTCCTGATGTAATAATGAAGAGCGAATTACATTCATTTGCGTCTTTTCAATCTTTTGGGAGTTCACACAGGAGCAGTGCGGTATATCGCATGTGATTCGCGCAGGAACCGCACTGCATTCCCGTGCCAATCACATGCGATTTGTGTGCGGTGCGACGCAAGGCGTGCATTTTGTATGCTCTAATTGCACCCACACCAAAAACACGCAGGACCCTTTTTTTGGTCCACACGGGTCTTCACACCTACGCAATCCGAATTCTGCACATCGCACCGCGTTTTGCGGACCACTTTTGGGCTGTTAACATACATCCCGGTTTGCATGAACGGGTGCGACTCTGATGCGGTGTGGAATTCGCACAGAAAACGCTGCAAGTTCTGGGCCGCATCCGTGTGAACCCGGGCTCCATGGTAACAAAGATGAATTACCGCTTTGAGGCGAATTCTAGCTGAGTGGAGATTTTGGCGTTCTGAGAGCGCAGCTCAGTAACTTGGTCCTGCAGC